ATGTACAACAGCCCTAAACCCTGCTCTATCCTGTACCAATCTCACTGTCTCTGACACACCTACCCCCATTACCCCAGTCACTGAATCAATCCACCCTGTATAGGGGGGCCTTCCTCTCCTGTGGTGTCCCTCCACCCTCCCAAGTATGACATCCCCCTCCAAGGACTGGTCCCTCCTCGCAACATGTCAAAGGTATGTCAGATGAAGCTTCAGAATCCTTGCCTCCAATGACCAGCCTGTTTTAACAAATCTCTCTAGGACAAACCTGCTCATTTTCTTAGCAGTCTGTGATGTATTCAGTACTCTTCTCCAGCACCACAACTCAAAGGCGTCAATTCTCCTTCTGTCATCCCTAGTCATTGTACAGCTCTCAGATGAATAGAAAGTGATTGCAAAGACTATGGCCTTTATCAGGAGCAACTTAATCTCCAGAGTGACATCATTACTCTTCAGTACTTTAGAGAGGTTCCTAACAGCAGGCTTTCCCATCGCAATAGGTCTTTTAACTTCCTGGCTGCTGGTGCCAAGAGTGTTGATTGTGGAGCCAAGCAAACTAAAGCTGTGAACAATCTCAATCTCTTCACCATGCATCCTGATATTGCTAATTGGCCCAGTGGTAAGAATCTTTGTTTTCTTGATGTTGTGTTTCAATCCATATTGAAGGCTGTAGTCCTTGACCTTCTGCAGCAAGCGCTTCAGGTCCTCCTCAGTTTCAGCAAGCAAGATTGTCTCATCTGCATAATGCAGATTGTTGATAAATCTTCCTCCAATCCTGATGCCACATTTCTCCTCATAGTGACCAGCCTCCCAGATGATTTGTTCTGCATAAAGATTGAAAAGGTATGGAGATAGGCCACATCCCTGGCAAACATCCTTCCCAATTTTGAACCATGCTGTGTTTCCTTTCTCTGTTTTGATGACTACCTCCTCATCCAAGTATAGGTTTCATATTAGCACGATCAAGTATTCTGGGATTCCCATTCTTCTCAGAGTCAGCCACAGTTGTGATCCACGCAGTCAAACATCTTTCATAGTCAATGAAAGACAAATATACATTCCTCTTGTACTCCCTGCTTTCAACCAAGATCCATCTAACATTAACTACAATATTCCTAGTACCACAACCCCTTCTAAATCCAGCCCCTGCACTGCTGGCTGTTCTCTTTTGATGTGCTGTCATATGTATTTGATGGTACACAGTAAAAAACAAAGAAAGCATCATGCCAAGTATTTAACTGGAAGTTACACTTTTTAGTGATATTAGCCACAACAGGTGTAGAGAACTGAGAATTCACATACATCTGTGATGCATGTACTTTGTGAGAAAAAGCACTGTGGAGTGTGTTGAGTTGCCCAGTGGGAAATAAAATGTGTGTTGTGAAAGTTATTGACAGTCCCTGGTTAAAAAAATTAGTAGTCTTCAATGGCTAGAACAGCTATTCTTTGTTTATACATGTTTCCAAAATCATTTTTTCACTATGATGAGTCTATGAAAGATATTGCTAATAGAATGGACATTTGAAACCTCTTTTAAAAAAGACCTAAATTTTATTCTATTGGTATGAGAAATTATAATTTATATCATATTAACAAAATAGAAAGGATAGACAAAGGGAAATTTATGGACCATGGGGTTTTTTCAAACAGCGTAATTTTTAACACTACTGGACATTCCTGGGAAATTTTTTGGATACTGTTGGGAAATTCCTCGTTAGCTGATTTGGATATATCCTATTGTTCACAGGAAGCTGGCTCTTGTATAAAGAGACATGGGCAGGAGCGGAGTTCAGTTTTTCTTCGCTGTTTTGACATTGGTGACACAGCACAGAACCAAGAGTGTTTGCTGGAGGATTCTGACACCCTTATAACTGCTCCAGAAAACAGTAAGTGGAGAAGTTTTATCGAGATCAGCCGTGGGACATGAAACATAGATTATAATATGAAGCGGCATGCAGAAGGGATCCAATCGGAGATATTTCAAAAACTGCTGTTGTATTGACTTGTAGAAAACCAAGCTTTGAACTTAACAATGAAAAACTGAAAATTTGTACTTATTCATCTGAGTAGACTTCTTTGATGAAAAACAGTTTAGCTCTGGAATTCTTTATTGAAAAATCTTACTGTGTGACCCTAAACCAAGACTGTACAATGATATGAGAAACTAGATACTTAGATTTTCATTCCATAATTAATTTCGCTTTTTTTTTTTTTGTTCCTCTGCAGAAAAGCATTTCGCATTGAATCCTTCTCTAGAAAGAATTTCCGGAGCCATGACTGCAGTACAGTTTTTATTTGTTTTTGTCTCTGGTAAGTTATCACTAGAGTTTCTAAAACTTGGCACCATTGACATTTCTGTCAGATAATACTTTTGAGGGGATGTTAGCCTGTAAATTGTAGGCCTTTTGGTAGCAACTATGATATTTATGTATGTTGTGTTATATCTTGGGATAGTTGTAATTTTAATCTTTGGTATAATAATTTTAATATAGATTTTAAATCCTTGACTACTAGCATAAAGGCTGTCCGTTTGAATCCATCTAGAGGTGGCTCAGAAGAAAGGCCTGGGAAATATCTTATGGAGCAGTTCAGCTCTGCTCAGCGGGGGTCACCAGGAGTTTTAAATGAGTCTATTGTAACTCACAGGAACAAATGAACTTTACTTCTCAGAAATGAAGGGTTGATCTTAAACAGTCCTTCTATTTTCTGAGGCATGCGAGGATTCAGGGTGATGGCCACGTGCAGTGTGTCAGAGAACAGGCAGGAGTATGGACTGCATGCCCAACAAAGCCTAGTGATTCTGATTCACATACTACTGTAGTTTGAATAGATTAATAGGTGATGGTGGGGAATTCACAAAGGCCAATCAAAAAATAGATTTATAAAAAAATCTTGTTTCAACACATGCTCATGAACACACTGAATTCTAAAAAGTGGGGGAAAAATTAGTTATCTCAACGGCTACTATACTTGAGTATATATTTTTGTTTGTTTGTTTCTGAGGAAAAAAAAACCCACAGGGAAAATAAGACAAGAAAAGGCTCAGGTGAGGTTGCCATACTGTGGCAGGACTAACGTCTCCCATTCCTTTCCTACCTTCCCCACAGTGTTCCTCCTGCTTGAGGGTAGTGCAGCCTGGTCTTACAGCACTTCTCCAAAACTCATGAATTACAGCGATGCAAGTGCGTACTGTCAGAAATGGTACACACACCTAGTCGCAATCCAAAACAGAGAAGAGAATGACTACTTGAATTCCATATTAAACTATACATCACGTTACTACTGGATTGGAATCAGAAAAGTCAATGAAGTGTGGACTTGGGAAGGAACCAATAAGCCTCTGACAGAAGAGGCTGAGAACTGGGCCCCCGGAGAACCAAACAATAAGCGAAAGAATGAGGACTGCGTGGAGATCTACATCAAGAGGGAGAAGGACACTGGCAAGTGGAATGATGAGAGTTGCAGCAAAAAGAAGCGTGCCTTGTGCTACACAGGTAGGGCGTTTGGGGTAGCAGAGGGAGGCCATGTCACATTTGTTTGTATACATTATGTAGACAGCAGTTTCTGTTGCTTCATTATGTACATGTAGGAGGGAGAGGGAGAGGGAGAAGGGGAGGGAGAGGGGGAGGGAGAGGGAGAGGGGGAGAGAGAGAGAGAGAGAGAAAACACACTTGTGTGGTGTATATGGTTACATCACTCTTTTGCCAATAAAAAGATGGTGTATGGAGTCCTATAGGGGCGCCTCTGAAGAAAAATTTGTTGATTACTCCTGAAAAAATTAAAAACCTTATGGAGCTTAATTCTACTCTGAACACCAGGGGTTGAGATCCACTCAACATCAAGTGGTTTTTATGTACAAACTGTGTATAAACACATAATACATATCTTAGTAACATGTTACCCATCTGTATTAGAGGGCTGCTTTTCTGAATCTGTCAGAAATTGAGGGGTTTTTTTGTGCTTGATGTTAGCTGTAGCTAGGAGTGCCCATGGGTTTAACATTTAACCCAAAATCTCATCTCTGGCATTTTTGTCCAGTTCTATTGGGAGAGAATAATCATCCTCCTGGTCACCAATTGTGTTTCCGCAGCTACCTGTACCAACACATCCTGCAGTGGTCATGGGGAATGTGTGGAGACCATTAATAACTACACTTGCAAGTGTGACCCTGGTTTCAGTGGACTCAACTGTGAACAAAGTAAGTCTGGACCCCACCTCTCCTTTCACTTGTAATGGTGGCCCCATTTTATGTTCTCACTGGCTTTGGTAGGAAGTCTGCATCTTTTCCTTTCCTTGGGTCAATGTGCAATGTTAGTGGAAAGCTAAAGCTATGAAGTTGGACTTTCTGGGTTCAAATTCTGCATCTGATGGGACCTTGACAAGCTATTGAAACCCACTGGGTTCCAGAATTCACATTTATAACCTGGAAATGAAGATAATCACAATCATACTGGCTTACACATAGGATTATGTGAACAAGTGCATGCAAAAGAAACCTATCTGTAGTGGCTGGCACATAAGCAGGCATTGAGCACATAGAGCAATTAGAGGTCCCTGTGAACATTCATCTTGTCTAGCTCAGGGAAGGACAGAAGTGACTGAGTTTCCTTTTTCAGTTGTGACCTGTGAACAACAGAGGGACCCTGAACATGGGAGCCTGTCTTGTACCCATCCTTTGGGGAACTTCAGCTACAATTCTTCCTGCTCTGTCGCCTGTGATGAGGGTTACCTGCCCAACAACATGGAGGCCACTTGGTGCACCTCCTCTGGCGAGTGGAGTGCCCCCACCCCGGCCTGCAATGGTGAGTCTCCCTTGAATGCACAGAGCATTCTCTCCCTCATTCTGCCTTTTGAATTCTCTATCTTACTTATTTTCCACACTTTAGAGGAAATATTTTTGTGGTTGTTTCTTAGCAAAATCTGCTCTCTCAGCCAATCTAGATGACCAAATCAGCATCTGTCATGTTTGAGAGATGTTTTCATACTAAAGTTTAAATGAGTGTCTCTGAAGCTCTGGTAGTTTTTGGAAGAAACACATAAAACAGAAGAATCCTACTTAAGAAGTTTTCCTGACTTTCTCATCTTTCCTTGTTGATTCTCTTCCATGCAGTGGACTAGCTTAAGGCCATGCTAGTTAAGCAGCATCCATATCTCTTTTTCTCTCACTCTTAATATTTGTGATTAACACATATATGTTGTTGTTCTTGTTGAGTACCATTGAGTCAGAACTGACTCCTAGCTGACTCTCCAGTGAATTTTCAGAGGCAGTTGATCACTCTCAGGAGCAGATCACTCATTCCGCTCCCACAGAGCAGCTGATGGATTCTAACTAGGTGCCTTCAGGATTGCAGTGCAGCTTCTTGTCACCAGTGCTCTTTCATCCTAGTCCTGCTGGGCTTACAACCAGACAGAAAGCTTGATCTCAAATCTCCTATTTTTACCTTATATAAATAATAAAAATATCAGAGATTTCAAAGCATGGTTAAACTAGAAATTAATCTGTTAAGATGAAAATATCAATAAAAAGGGAAGAGAAAGCTTTACTATAGTTTCAGTTCCCTATACTATCGTTTACTCTAGATTGCAGTCCTTGGATACCAAGCTTTTGAAGGCATCTTCTTTCCTTACTCCACTCTGAACTTCAATTCATAGGGAATGGAAAATGTCATTCTTCCAAAATTTTCATGGTGCTCTTTCAAATCCACAGTGGTTGAGTGTGAGGCTTTGACAAGTCCTGCCAACGGAACTGTGGAATGTTTCCCAATGGCTGGAAGCTTGGTGTGGAACACGACCTGTGCATTTGACTGTGAAGAAGGATTTGAACTAATGGGTGCTCCGAGCCTCCAGTGTACCTCATCTGGGAGTTGGGACAGTAAGAAGCCAACATGTAAAGGTAGGGAAAGTTTCATAGTAACATGTATGATAAAACACCTGACGTTAGTAAACTAAGACAAGCTCATCAAATTGCTACATGTGTTCCAGCTGCGACCTGTGGTGCCATCAGTCACCTGCAGAAGGGCTCTGTGAGCTGTAACCACTCCCCTGCTGGACAGTTCACCTTTCAGTCCTCCTGCCATTTCACCTGTGAGCAGGGCTTCATGCTGCAGGGACCAGCCCAAGTTGAATGCGCTTCACAAGGGCAGTGGACACAGCAACTCCCAACCTGTGAAGGTGAGCCTCAAGTTTTCCCTCTTTTGTATGTTCCTATTCTTAAAACACATTACTCTTCCAACTTATACCTGGGAAATGAAACCAGCTACCTTCTTTAATTAGAGAAATTTTCTTTGATAGGCAGCACTCATTTTGCATTTTCTACATTTTTACAAACGAGTCAGTGCCTGGCCAAAGAGAAGGCTGTGCTAATCTAATTCTATAGACATTGGCTTGGAGGAAGTTAAAATTGTTAACCTAAGGAACATCACATTAGAAAAATTTTAAAGTACAGTCATGAAAATCTGATTTGGATCTAAGTCTTGTCATAACTTTCTTCTGTAATTACTCATAATCATAAGTAATCAGTTGTTTCAAATATGGTCTGACACTCTGAGGACATGTTAAGCACTTAGATGTCATAAACTGTCAAACAAGAGCAAAGATATTGAAAAGAAACATATTTCACTATAAGCCAAGGAACTCCTTGCAGCCGGTACAGCACAGAATGAGTTTCACTGGCACAAAGTAACCAAACTGTGAAGCAGACAATTTTAGGGGTGCCTTAATTTTCTTTCTTTTTAGATCATTCTATACGTATTCAAGACTCATCTGAATGCATCAAACCTTTCTCTTTGCCCTAATTTCTCCTTTATGTCAGAAGGACAGTGTCAGAAGCCACTATTGGCTTCTGGGTTTAATGGTAATTTCTTGCATGCTTCAAATGAAACCGTGCTTATGGCTTATATTTACTGTAACTGCTTGCTGTTAACATGTGAGTCTGTTTTAGGAATTTTCCAGTAGATTTTTCTTTATCTGTAACTGCATGTTTTATCCTTTGCAGCCGTCCAATGTTCACGACTGACGGTATCTGAGAAGATGAATATGAGCTGCAGTGGGGAGCCCGTGTTTGGCACCATTTGTACCTTTGCGTGCCATGAAGGGTGGACGCTCAACGGCTCTGCAGCACTGACGTGTGATGCCAGGGGACACTGGTCCGAGATGCTGCCCAGCTGTGAAGGTGATGCATTAACTGGTGCCCTGAGGTCTAGTGAGAAGTGGAGATATCGGACTATAACAATTAACTATCCATTAGATCCAACCTTAAAGATTAACCATATTAAAGAGCTGAGAAATATTTATGAGTATAGGGTGGGAAGCAGGAGAGGTAATTGAAAGAAAGGATAAAATTCTGGCAAATGGAGAAATGAGAGTTACAGGGAAGAGGCAAAGGAGAGAAGAGAACAAAAGGGAGACTGAGAGACGAAAATGGCTATGAGAGATGTGAAGGTGCTCACACATTGAGGTTCCGCCTGCCCAGTGGTAGAGATAAGCCGGGCAGCCAGGTTTGGAGCAGATCTAAAAGGTTCTTAATGTCACTGGTTGGCCTCACGCATTGGATTCGACGGTCTTCCTATCTCTCATATTAATGTAGGTGGGGGAAAAGTCACTTGGACAGGACAGGAAGACATTAATGCTAATTCTTGCTGCTGACAATTCTTCCCCTCTTGATTCCTTAGCTCCCGCGGAGTCCAATGTCCCCTTGGTGGCTGGACTTTCTGCTGCTGGAACTTCCTTTTTGACACTGGCGTCCTTTCTCCTGTGGCTTCTGAAACGCCTTCGCAGGAAAGGTGAGGGAATCTATGAATGCATGTGAGATAAGCGTTTGAAAAAAGTTTCTTTTAGATTCATCACTGACAACATGGACTTCTCTTTCAAATTTATATAATAATTAGGATCTAAATGATGAACTTTAGTAGCCTAGTGAATAGGGAGTTGTGCTGTTAACTCAGAGGTGGGGTCTCTCTGACTCCCCTAGTAGTTCTGAGGGAGAAAGATGGAAAATATTTTCCCATATAATTTATAGCCTTGGAAAAACTGCTGGAGGGTCAGTTATAAGTTACTCAGAGGCTTGACAGCAATGAGATTTGAGAAGCAAGTACTCAACTCAGACCAAACCCACCGCTCCGGAATTGGTTCTGACTCATGACAGCCCTCCATTGAGTTTCTGAGGCTGTTTCTCTTTCTAGGGGACTGTCCATCTTTCTGCCATGGAGAAGGTGGCAGGTCCAAACCTCAACTTTTGGTTAGCAGCCTCAATTTATGCACTACACACCAAGAAAACAGAGCATAATGAAACCGAAATCTTAAGAGCTGCTAATGCAATTCAAAGTGGAAAGGGTTTTAGAAAGTGTAATTCTATGCCACTGCAATTCAATTCAGATTCATAGCGACTCAGTAAGACAAAGAACTGCCTCTGAGGAATTAAAAGTATGCAAAGCCTTACAGAAGCAGATTCACTCATCTTGTATCCAAAGAGTGGCAGGGGTTCAAACCACGAGTCTTTCAGTTGACAGTCCGATGGTTAACTTACAACATCACCAAGGATTCCTAATGTACCATTCTCATGCTCAACCATGGCTTCTGAGGTGGAACCAGTTCACAGGTGATCCTCTGGTGGGTTTCCAGAGTTTGACAATCATATGGGAGGAGATTGTCCATCTTTCTGCAGAGGAGTTGCTGATGGGTTCAAACTCCTGTCTTTGGATTGGCAGTGCAACTCCTTACTTCTTTGTTGTTTTTGTTGTATACCATTGACTCAGAACCAACTCATAGCTGACCCTCCAGCAGGTCTTTAGATGCAGTTCCTCACATGGGAGGAGAGGGCCCTTCTCCCAGAGTAGCCCATGAATTTGAACCACTTGCCTTTGTGATTGCAGTGCAGCTTCTCACCACTAGGCCACCAGAGCTACCGCCCCTGCCCACTGGTTGTACCAATAGAGTACCACTCTGGGGATGTAATCTATGCCACAGCTCAAGTTATGCCATGGAGCTACTATAAAACTCTTACACTAAGCACCTAGAAAACACACAAAATATTCCCTAAACTGATGTATTTGGTCTTCAAAATTGGAGTATCTGATGGGGAATATGAGTTCTGATTGGATGGTAAATATTGGCAACATCATAGGGAATATGCAAACATATCAAGTCACACTCGTATGATTTACAGGATCCTTTTTCTTTCTTTTTTTTAAAAAAAAATCATGTTGTGGTATATATAAAACATGAAACAAAAATCCAGATATCTGTCATGTTGTTAAAAATTGGAAGCTGAATCTGGTGAGCTGTTGGGCCCTTTGTTTGGGGGCTGTGTTATCTTCAGCCCTTCACTTCTATCATAGTTTTTCCTCACCATGACACTGAGTTTGTAAAATTAGATGAATGAGGGCAAGAAATGTTTCTGGATTTGATGTGTTCTTAAACATCAATTAGTCCTGATTATTGATTTGGTTGTGTGGTTTTTTTTTCCATTTGCAGCAAAGAAATTTGTACCTGCCAGGTAAGTTCTATTCTCTACAAAGCGTACATTGAACATTCTTAACTTTGCTCATCAACATGCTGGAGAACAGTGCTTTACTTATTGTTTTTAATGCATTCCACAGCAGCTACCTAAGCCTGGAATCAGACGGCAGCTACCAAACTCCTGAGTTAATTTAAGACTCAAGACATCAGGTAAGACTTGATGGTGTTAATATAATTACAAGAAAGTGCTATCCTCTCTCCAGGTTATGTTGCTCCTCAAACCCTCCAAACCTGTCTGTTTCTGCAAGAAAAATAGCACACTCAAAGGATTTTCTGAAACATTGCTACATTTCTTTGTGGAAAGAGAGGCTAGGGATAAGAGATCTAAATCATTCATTCCACTTATGAATTTAGTATACCATATTCTAAATATCAAGAATAATGATAGTTACTTAGTAATTCTTATATAGAGTTTCTGTATACTTGGCACTGTTTTAAACAATACATAGAGAAAAGAGCTTACGATGTAATTTAGTGTAATATAGACAGTTGTTGTTGTTGTGTGCCATCAAGTCAGAGCTGACCCATAGGTGACCTTCCAAAGGATTTTCAGAGGCAGTAAATTGCATAATAGGAGATTGCCAATATTTCTCCTATATAGCAGGTGGTGGATTCGAACTATGTGCCAGTGGTACTGCAGTGCAACTCCTTAGAATTGAATCCCTCTCTAACATGAGGGAAAGAACTATCTGAAAAGAATATATGCTTATGCATTATATATAGATGAGAACAATCTGGAACAAGGAGTGCCTTCATTGTGGGGTAGTGTGGGGTGGGGGATGGGATGAAGGGGGAAGAAAATGTGAAACAATGAATAAATAAGAGAGAGACAAAAAAGAATACACACACACACACACACACACACACACACACACACACACACACACACACACACACACACGGAATGTGTAGAAATTAGCACTTAATAAGAACCATACCTGTCAACCCCAGCAAGAATATTAACTGGTATCTTGGACACCTAATTGGAGTGTCGTTATGAGCCAATAGTGGGTTTGGTTCCTAGAACCTGGATGTTCCTAGTCTATTATAATGTGGAAATGTTAAGTGCTCTGATGACATGCTCTCCTACGGTTTCAGGAACACAGCAAATCTCAGAGAACTGAAGTGACCACTGAAGAGAACAAAGGCAGACAACTCTTCTTGGATCTTTCATCTTTTCACCTACTGTCTCTGCTGCTTAACAGCTGGAAAGGGGCCACTTGCTAGAACTTCAAGGGTCTAAAACTTAGTGGGAAGGCCAGGCTTCAACCGAGAAGATGAAGACCCAGGTTTCTCTTTGCTGTTCTCAGAAATCAGGAAAGGGTTGGGCACTAAAGGAAAGTGATACTTTGTTCCGGTCAAAACTAAGATTGGGACTCTGGAATCTTGGAATTTCCTTTCTAATCTCCCCTGTTCTTGATGAGTTATTGACCAAAAAGCACAGTATTTTGTGGTATTGCGTCTTTTTCTGTCTCACAGAGTGATTCTACTCCTGATGATACAGTTGCAGTCATGACAAAAAATGAATACTTTTTAAGAGTTTAGAGGAAGCAAATTGACCAGAATACCAAATTGGTATTCTGGTACTCACTTGAAAAATGAAAAAGGAGAAAATTTTAATGCCCATGGAAGACTTTGTGAGGAATAATTAAAGTTGAAACAGGTTCTTAAAGGTGCCTGCATTTTGCAAGAATATGGAGCACAATCTTCTTGCTTTTATCCCCGTGGGATTCCGAGCTTTTAAAAAGCATCCTCAGAGAGTGTTCTCTTTCTTTTTATTAAGCATGGTTTAATGTTCCATAATTCTCACTCAGTGAAAGTGTTATAGTGACTTAGGAGATATATATATTAGAGACTATGTATATTAAAGGCAATGATAAGTTAATAGTAACGTTTTCTAGATCATCATCTATAGGTTATGAACATTTTTCTAATGTTATTTCTTTAGAAAATTTTTTCAAAAATATAAAATATTGTCCTCTAGAAATGCTTAACACTGACCAAAATACAAAGGCTTGAATATCTTCCTAGAATAGTTAAAACTTGAATAGTATTAGGAGTGCTTGAAAAAGTCAACGGTAAATGAAACCGAGGAAGACTCAATAGAGGGACTGACACAGTGACTCAAACAATGAACTTGACACAGAGGAGACACTGTTAGAGGAAGCAGATTAGAATTTGACTTGTGATTCAGTCCTGGTCACCTCTGTGGTATGTAACAATGAACACAGTATTAGAGGTCTAGAAACTAAATGGAGAGTTCATACAGTGTCAGTTTTCTCTATGTATTTGTGTTCAGAGATGTGTAATTTATGGTACAAAACTTTCAACTTGGTTAAATGTTCTCATTTTCTAGAAGCAAAAATAAAAACAAATGAAGGTACAATCTTAAGAATATTTTTTATTGAAAAATAAATTTGGGACTATGGATGTGCTTTGCTCTCCACCTGTAAACATCTTCAGATGGGGAGTGTAAATAACTTCTATTTGTTGTTTTGTGTATACATATATATGACTGTAAACACAGATTAGATGTTCATCCTATGAATAATCCACCATGGGACTTTGGAAGTGTAAAGGTGTCTCATAAGGATCCCCTTCTTGTTATATTCTTTAGGTTAGGGTGTTCTTCAAGAAGAGAAGAAGGATATGATCAAGTATCTGTGTTTATTTATAAGCAGAGTTGGCTATTTCCAATGGATCTCTAGCTATCTTTGATCACCAGCAGTAGGAATAGCTCTGTTAGTAACTATCAAAGCTGCTCCAGTCATGGTTTATCTGAGAAGCAAAATTCTGCCACAGGGCCTTCAATTTAGCATGTAATCAATGGGAAAGTTTCAGAGAAGCTTTGCTTGCATGTCAGAATCAGAAGGAACAGGGTGGTGTGATAGGGATTAGGACAGCAGAGGTTTTGTAAGAGGCAGAAAAACTGAAAACAAGGGCCAGAGTTGGGGAAGAAGAGGGAGAACATAATATACTGTTATGATCAGGCTGTACATAGAATGAATTATTAGTTTCTTGTAGATGTGTTGGAAATACTTATTGATACACTATAAATAATATATATGTATGTAATAAAAACTATTACAAATAATATGTAGACAATATAAACACGGTATATTTTGGAATGTATTTTAAAATATTTGTAAAGTATTTGAAAGCTTTTTATAAAGGGTTTTAAAAATATTTTAAATTACAACTTAATTTATCTCTCAGTTTTAAACATATTTAAGTTGATGTCAGCCCCATTACATTATCATGGCACTATAAATGTCAATAATAATAATATTTGTTTTATCTCTGTGTAGAGGCTCTTTCTTTTCTTAATTTATTATTAATTTCAATAAAAATTTTCAGAGACTGGATTTCCATTTATTCATTGTTGCACTTTTCTCCCCTCCCAACCCTTCCCCCAAGTACACTCCCCTCTTGGAAAAGTAAAAGAAAAATTTTTTCATTGTTTTACAATCCCTCCCCTCAGGTCCACTCCACTATGCAGCCTTTGCTCTGGACTCCTGTCATGACAAAAATACCTAATCACATATCCCTTTTAAACAGTTTCTCCCTCATCTGTTTCAATGTAGTATACTTTATTAAACCCATCTTTCTCAGTCTCCCCCCCCCAACCCTAATGTCAGTACTGTTTTACAAGAGTGGCACCATGCAGTGTTTG